CAATTGAATATTCTTTCACTTTTGTAATGAATTCTTTGGTTTGGTTTTTAAGAAAGAGTTCGTCAGAAGATTTAAAAGTATGTGAAAAAACCGATAGAAATGCATATTCAATGGGAAATGGATACTCGATATGCAATTCATTTTTCATTTGTATTACAGATTTGTTACCACAATCATGAGTTTTGATGTGAGAGAAATAGATGGGAATTCTAGCAAACCGTTTCATGAGATATAGTATACGGTATGGATCGGGCAGTTCGCGAGATTTCTCCTTCAGTTTCTTCGGGTCCACAATCAGTGGTATTTCAATCATCAAAGCCGTCGATTTGCCTATAGTTTGGGCATTACATCCGTAAAACTCATTGTCGCGAACGTACGGGTGATGGTTCTGCACCTCATAGTTATGAACCCCTTTATCCGATTCAATAGTTTTATAAATCTTTCGTTTGCGAAAAGGCTGTCCCCGAGTGTAGGACTGATTGGATCGCATCTGTTCTTCAGGAGTCATGTCATCGAAAGAGTGTTTGTAAAGAATCGGCGGATGGCTTAACAAGAAATATATTTTCATCGTTTGAATGCGTGAATTGTTGTCAAACGAAACGACCGCAGAATTGAATGCTTTGAACTCGTATTCACACTTATATCGGATATTTCGGGTGAGTTTGCCGTTATGTCCACCACTCGTCACACGGAATCTGAGCACCAATTGATTTCTGTCGTACTGGAAATCGGCGATCATATCATCTTTGGCCACATTTAGGCCGCACTCGCTATCGGCGCGACTCGAGTAGTGCTCCACAACGTGTGTCAAATCAATCATCGATCCCATACTGAAGGACTTGACGCCATTGCCTGATATGTGACTGTATTGCTGGCGAGAAATCAGTCGATCGATGTCTGCCATGTATTGCAATGAATCCAATTCAACAGATACGAGGCTATTGGCGAAGTACTCGTTATCACACAATCGGATCCAACTCTTCTTAACGAGATCTCGAGTCTTCTTGACATAACTTAGAGAACCGCTGTATCTGAAGAGTTGGTTCTCTTCGTAGTAGTTCTTAACATCGGCTGATTTATTGATCGCGATGTTTGTCAACGCTTTGCCGTCTTCGTCGGTGTCGACCACAACATTGTCACCCGCGAGACGAGCGGCCAAACGGCGGCCAATTATATGGACCAAACACTGGTCACCATTGGATTCAATGTTTTTGCGGTCTCTTTCGGTGAGGAGTTTGTTGTTGCGGTTGTCATACAAATGAGTCACTTCTATGACCATTGATTTGGTCTTTACCACCGATTTGCTCATAATTGATGTCTAAGTGTTGTCTTATGTGATGACTAAATGGCAGAAATGGTTGTCATTGAGAGAGTGTTTGCGGCCATCGATTGAACGATCGATTGGTTTGTGTATTGAATGCAATGTTTGGTACGGTTTGTGATAAAGAGGGCAAACATTGAATGTTTGCGTTTCTATTCAACACATGTGTTGTCAACACATTTGGCGTCACTTATGATTCACTGTAATGAGTAATGTTATATTAGTGGTGAAAGTTTTGCAACGTTTAGGGTTAAATTTAGTGAAAATTTAGGGATCTCGATGAACATTTAGGCTAAATTTTCAACCACTCTATATTAGCGAAATCTATATGACACATATTTACTAAATAAATCACTAATTTGTGTAATTTAAACTAAATTAACAACTATTATCAAAATGTACTGTAGTTAATTTAAATACTAAACAGAATACACGAATATGTCGTGAATTCATTATTATTTTGTAGTATAGAATTTTAGAATTCATAATTTAAGTGAAATATTCACAGAATATATAACAGAATTTGCAACCTTTAATAAATTTGTAATATTTAAAGAACAAAAATAATTTTCGTAATTATTTTTAATGAAAAATGTTTTAATTAGTTTGATGCTTATATATTTCACCACATTAAAAGTATCTAATTAAAAAACATATGAAGATTTCACATTTAATGAAATTTTAGCCCAAAATTTCAATATTTAGCCTAAATGAAATGTTCATATAAAAATTTCAGTAAAATTTTCATCCCTAGTAATGACAGTGACTGTAATAATACTGTAGTTTTGAAACATGCGTTAATATAGGATTGAAAACAACTTTCGGCTAATATTGAATGCAAATTAATTTGAGTCTATAATTATTAATTATGATTCATAATTTATTGATCAGTTTATTAATCAAAATTTATGATTCATAAACATGTTTTATACAGTATATCATACATATTCAACAAATATTTAATGTAATTAATAATTAACTAAACATAGATTTAAATACAGTACAACTTCTCTATAAAAAAAACGAGGGAAACAGTTGTAAATGGCAAAATTCTAAACCATTTAAACAATGTTCATCACTTGATGCGCCCCTTTCTTATAGAGGATGTACTGTAGATAAAAATGAAATACAATTTGATGTGGAATTAAACATTTGAAACCAATGAATATCAATGTTTGTTCATATGATTGGTATGTATTAATCATAGGTTATCTCATATCTCAAAGACAATATCCAATTGCCAGACATAACAGCTATAGTTATCCTAATATACGAGATATGATTCAAAATACAATCCTATAATCACCAAATGTTTGTCAAAAACTAATGTTTCACGTGTTTTATTCAAATAAAATGTATTAATTAATAAGTAATTGAATGATAGGTTGATATGATATGATATGATAGTGTCAATTACATTGCAGACAATGTAGTCATTAATTTACATTAAACTAATTTTTTAATAAAATCTCACAATACATGCATTCAATCAAATCGCGAGTCAAACGTATGGCAAATATTCTGGTGTCAAGAATAGGGCACAGAATCTGATTGAAAGTCAACTTCAATTGACTTACAATAGAGAGCGTCAGAGAGTGGGAGAGAAAGCAGTGAATAAATGAATGGGAAAGCACTGGATGTGAGAGAAAACGTGATTTACTTGAAATTGAAGATATGGTATTGAAATTCAATATTCATTCAATTGTAAACTGATTCCTGTATTGAATACATTTGCAATCATTTATTATATGCATTATTATTCATCATTTATACAAATATCAAATGCAAACACAATTGCATTGAGTCTAACATCACGTACAGTAGAATTCACATCAATATTACAGTTATTTACAAATTTAATGTCAATTAAAAACTTGTTAATTGTGTGAAAGTCTGTGAAAGCGATCCCAAAGACAAGACATGCCTCACATCGAAGAAGGAGTGAAATTGGATTTCAAAGACGTCTTATTAAGACCTAAACGATCGACGCTTAAGAGCCGTTCAGATGTAAGAATCATATTCTTGTAAAATATGTTACCATTTATCCATTGGTTTCCATGTCTTTATCCAAAGGTCGATCTGAACCGAAGCTATCATTTCAAGAAGTCGGGTCAGGAATACACTGGCGTTCCGTTGATTGCGGCCAATATGGACACAATCGGCACATTTGAGATGGCATTGGCTCTCAATAAGCATAACTGTTTCACTGCTATCCATAAACACTACACTATTGAAGAGTGGACTGATTTCGCCGCCAAAAACCCCTCAGTATTACGGGTCAGTATCACTGAAGTTGTTGTTAACATGGGTTTGATTTGAATGATTGGGTCCCGAAGAATGTTGCGGTGAGTTCTGGCACCGGAAGCGGCGACTTTGACAAACTGAAGGATATCTTGAAGAATATTCCGGACGTGAAGTTTATATGTCTGGATGTGGCGAACGGCTATTCCGAGCATTTCGTGGAGTTTGTCAAACAGGTTCGCAACGCTTTCCCGACGCACACAATAATGGCCGGCA